GTAATGGTAATTGTGCACTGGAAAAGGAACCTGCACGGAGCCACTGCCTGATGCCGCGAATGCTGCAGCAAAAGTCTGTAGGAGTTGATAGCGCGGCCAAATGTGAGACAGAAGGGCAAGTCGTGCACAGCAACTGGTAGATGCAAAGGGGCAGAAAAGCATTTTAAATGCTCTCTGAGGCATTTTTCTCTCCCTCTTTTAAAGACCCTGTGGACTCTCCCAACAATAATGACTGGTTGTCGTTAAGGTCTGTCTCCAGGCCAGCTATGAATCCCAGGAAGTAGCCACATGACATTCCTTCTGTGGCTTGACAGCACAGCTTAAGCTGTATTATGGGGGGGGACGCGGGGGGAAAGGAGGCAGCATTTCAGCAATGTGCTGGTATTTTTTGCCTTCAGTGGTTTTGGTGGAGGGAAAAAGTAAATTGAGGATCATTGATACACCCAGGCACACCACCAGGATGCTGAAAAGATGTAAGGCCCTTCAAAAGCTTGTCCGGAGGGGTAGTTTTTTGGCTGGAGGGCCAACCATAGGGCAGTTGAAATTTTAATTGCTCGTTAGCCTAGAGGAAGATGTGGCAAGCTTTTTGCCAACAGAGAACATGGAGCTAGAAAATGACAACTCCAGGGTAACATTTAGGGAGATGTATCATTTTAGACCAGGCCATCAGCCTCACCTGCATTCTTTTCCCTGCATGGGTTATTTGTATCACCCCTCTTTGTTTCTCCAGCTCTCTTGACTTCAGGGAGTGGTCACAACCTGCTTATTCTGAGAGTGTGCAAGGGTGATATGAAGCCACTTGTGAAAAGCAAGTATGCCACCCTAACCGTTAAATTCTATTTTGGGGACTAAATTACAAATTTTGTTAGGGTTCCTTAAAAACGGGATGAAGAGGTGGAACACCAAAGGTCCTTATCCTTAAGGTCCAGGGATAATCAAATAAACACTCCTCAGCATGTCATTTATTTACTAGTGTCCTGCTGATGCACATCTATACTTTTGATTCTGCTTGCTATATAGGTATATAGGTATAACTAAAGTTTGCTTTCTGTGCCAGTTTTTGGGGGGTTGGTTGGTTGGTTGGTTGGTTTTTGTCTTGAAAGAGGAGATATCCTTCCTGTTCGACCTGAATTCTGTGTTTCAGCTTGCCATAATCATAAAGCACAAAGGATTGTGTTCAAAACAGACCTGGCTCCCTCCTAGGGAGCAATTTCACTTTACAAAATCAGCTTGTAATTACCTAAAATTTGCCACAGGAAATTACTTTATAGGGTTTTTTTAAATGCTTTCCCCTTTAAAATAAAGTGACTGTGGAAGGGGAGGTCCAGATTTAAAAACTGAAGGTTGGTTGTGTTGTTGGGAGGAAGATTGAAAGAGAGAGGCTGCTGCAGTACGAGGTCTGCGATCGTGTGTGCGCAGCTCCTCTGTGTATTTGCAGAACACCACCCTTCATGCAGAAGTGGCAGGATGTTTCCCTTTTGTCTCAATTCCTGGATTTTACAAGTTAACGTATCCCTTTCTCACCAGGCAGCAGCTGACCAGAGACTAGATTTCCATGCCATATTGGGAAGGGTTCTAATGGTGCTTTCTGTGGTCTTCGTCGTTACTATGTGGTGCGGCCAAGCTTTCCCTGTGTTGTGGCAAAAAGCTGTGCTAATGATAACAAACTATAGTTCTCCCTGCTACTGGGATGACTCAAAGGTTAATTCCAACTGTTAATATAATGGGCACATCCAGAGAAAACTTTCAGCAATAGGGCAGTTGGTAACTGGCATCTCGCTGTTAAATTTGTCTCTCTAACCTGAGTCTTGCTGATTTTTTTCGAGGCACCACATGTCAGAAAACACAACTCCGTAGATAGACACACAGTCAGGATGAACAGGGTAGGAAGTCTTTCTGTGACTGTTGAAAGATAACACAATGGGTTATATCATAGTTGGTCAAAGCAACAACATAAAGCGAGTTCAGAAAACAAGAAAGGAAAGGAGGGAAGAAAAGACAGAGGGAAATGTTCTATTTCACTTCCCCTGAGCAAACATGTAATTTCCATGATTTCTTTTTAATGACTCTCTTCTGAAGCTGGTAGGTACTGATTTATGAAAAGCTGTAAAAGATCAGGTGGAACCCTGCAGGACGTCGTTTACAGCTGCACGGATTGCAACCCGTCTAATTTGTCTAGTAAAGTGTGAGCTCATGGCGCACATCGCCCAGACCATAAATTTTGTGTTCAGACCTTCTGTCTAGGGGCTGGGTCAGGGGGAAAAAGCCTGCCGATGTGTGCGGATGCTCTGAAAGCCCAGCTTTCCCTTGGTGCATGAGAGGAGACATCACAGACTCTTCGCAGTGAGACGAATTCCTGTTCATTGATAAACTGTCCAGATGTCCTCTCTGAGGAGGAAAGTAACTAATTTTTGTTTGGAAACCTACAAGGAGAAAAATGATACTTTACAGTGCTGGTTATTCTGAGGTCACTTGCATTAAAATTAGGTCATATTTTTTATCCTGATGATACTTTGATCCAAGTAATAAACATAAAAGCTCTTTTGGGCCACTCTAATTCCTAATCCTAGAGACCTGTTCTATTTCAACTTGTTTATACTTTTTTTGTTTCCCCCCTCTCATTAGTGATTCTGGAGTCAGGACTTGTTTTATTAGATTTAAGCTGAAAAGACATACTAGACTGGAAAAAAAAATTCTCCTTGCCCTATCACTAAGAACACTTCATAAATACTCTTAATAAATGCCTCAGGATTCCAGACGCTATACCCAGAAAACTATAAATAAAAAGCATTGGCTCTTCATGGGACAAACAGTTGTCAGGGAGATGCAGCCTGCATAGCTACTGAATAAAAACATCTTGGGCCTGACTATCAAACCTGAGCTTTTAACTGGAAGGCATTCAAAGCTGTGTAACGCGTAAGCGTCTAAGGTCTGATTTTGGCGTGAGAACAGTAACCTGAAGTGTGCTGTCCTCAGTCTTTGTGTCGGGGCGGCTGTACTGTGCTTTTCCTTTACAAAACACTAGTGTTTGGCAGACAGAGCAAGCTTCTGGTGTCTTCTCTCTTCTTTCCATCTTTGGATTTTCCCAGGATGTGAGGTCCGTAGTTGGTGCCAGCAGTCATGGACGTTCGCAGCAGCTCCTTGTCCGGGCTGGGCTCCAGAGGGAAGGTAGTCGGACAGAAGGTGTCCCGTGAGGGACATCGCTGCTCTGAGACCTGGTGAATATCGAGGGTGAATCTACAGCGGTGTTATGTCCATTTGTGGATTGGAAGTTGAGATTTTAAAGCATGAGATCTTTAGTTACAGCCTGTAATCCCAGAATGGAAGAAGATATTAGAATAACTTTCTGATCCTGATAGAATCAGCCGATTGATACCAACTGGCAAAGCATCACAATAAAGCATGCTGTTTAATATGTACCCAGTGCCAAGGGTTATTGTTTTGCAAAGCTATGTTGGTTTTTTTTTCAAAGGTAAGAGGTGTAAGTCTCGGTGTAACTTGTGTGGTATCCCCTGGTTCCAGTGCGGGTCAGATGTACTGCACAAGTATGCTAGTGTAGTGCTACTGATCATGATGAAACTTAAAAAAGGCTTCTGTTGGGACTGAGAAGTTTCTTTTGGGTTTTCTAGACTACTTATGAGCTTAAATTCACTGGTATTAAAACACTTTGTTCTCTTTGGTGTCTTTAAAATCACCCCACTTATGTTTTTTTCCAATGACCAGAGATGGCTTGAGTTTAGGGTGAAGAGGATATTTTACAATCCCGGCCAGTTCTCCAGCACCAGTAGCTGTCACCTACCAAATACATGGCATAATTACTGCCTTTAAGTTATGATGTTAGTCTAGCCACCTCTCATTTTCACTTCCGTCCAGTGACAAAAGTCACTTCAGATGGACTGAGCTGTAGTAGTCAGACTCCTGTGCAGGTGATGTTCCACTAGCGCCATGGGGGAAAAAGAATTATAGGGCAGAAAATAGACTGTAACACTGCAACAATAACTGCTTTGGATATCTTCTAGTTCGGTCTCTTGTGCTCATGAGCAGCACCATCATGGTAGCACAGCTAAGCACATGTTTAGCTTTAAGCCCGAGATAGACACCCGTAAGGTACTTCACCTCAAATGGAACACGTGTTTCGGAATGCAGGCTAAAGAACTGTCCGGTATGGACTTGTGTTTGTCAGTGGAGGGAAAGATGCAGAAATAGAGTTGATATCTCTAATAACATCCTAGTCAAGGAAGTCATTATTGTGCTATTTAGCACTGAGAGAGAAAGGGAATTAGAATTAGATGTCTTGTCAGGAGAAAGAAATTACTGATCGTATTGCTATTCAGGGGCTTCTCACACCTCTTTGAATAAAATAGCAAGTCAGTGAGAGGAACAGCTGAGAAATAGGCTCTGCTCCTCGAGAGCTGTGTGTCTCCGCCAAGCTGTTTGCTGGGAAGACCTGTTTCAGAGACAACAAACCCCCTGCTATGGAAATGCGTGTCTCTCCATGGACTGCAGCAATAGTTCAGAAAACTAGCTGGGCCTATTTGGGGTCTTTTTAGATGGCTAAAATGAGGTGTGGTCGAGCCTGGCCCTAGTGCCTGCATAGGGAGGGGCTGGAATCTATTCGCAGTGCTCTCAAATAAGAAGTCTAGAGTGTGTATCTTTTCTTGTTTGGGACTAGGTGAATCAAATATAATCTAAATTAGTCTTGTCTTTGCTAATGCTTCACACATTAAATTGTAAGGTAACAATACACTTCATGAATTGGTGATGCTACAGTGATTTAAAGGTGGGCATGAGGAGCTGGAGCTCTTCAGCAGGGTGATTTCATCAAAGCTGCTAGCGTGAGTACATGAGGTGGCCTCAGCAGTAGATAAATTCCATAGACGAACAGAAAAGCAGTGTCTGGCCTGGGAGCTGCTGCCGATGCCAGTGCTGAATTTAGACACAAAAGAAATCCCTACATATCCCTGCTCCCTAACTTTTGTCACATTCCTTTTTTATTTCAGGCCATCAAATCTTCTTCTGGACCAAAGTAACATTGACATTTCAGCCTTCCGCACGGCGGGTGATTGGCTCAATGGTTTTCGGACAGGACAGTGCAAAGACATTTTCACGGGTGTGGAGTACAGTTCCTGTGATACCATAGCCAAGATTGCTACAGAGTAAGTGTGAATCGACTACAGCTCTTCATCAATGGTTGTGGCTGGAGGTACAAGTTTAAACATAAGAGTAGCGGTTTTAGACAGCGTTTCCAGTTTTTAGCTAAAATATTCTGACATTTAAAGAGACAAACGTAAAGTATTGCTGTAGTGGCAGTACACGTGCAGGAAACATCGATGCTCTGTGTGAGGGCCACGGTCCCATAGCTTTTTCTTGCTGATGACAAGGAAATTCCCCATTTCTTCTGATATAATAGCATAGTGCATCAGCTGGTGCACCAGCATCACTTTCGCTCAGTTTAGGAGTGTCTGTTTTTTCTTTATATTCTGCCTCTTATACGGGGGTTTCCCCACAGCTGGCACGTGTGCCCATCTTTTCCTTTATTGCCCATCCCATATTCCATCCAGCTAGGTGAGACAGAGCAAGCTCTTTGTAGCTGCTTTCCTCCTACATGCTAATAATTATTCAGGGGCTGAATGCCCTCCTCCCTCCGGTTTTGACATTTAAACATGTTAAACTTGGAATTTTACAACTTTCAAGTTTATTACATGTAAATGCAATCTGTCTTTGCTCTTGTGATGAGGAAGAGTAGGGTAATGTTCTCTCTGCACCTGAAAAGGCATCGAGTACAGTTAAGAACTTACTGCCAAAGGAAATCTGGATTCCCTGTTGGGATAGCTGGCTCCATGACAAGTTATGAAGAAATAAGCAGCAGCTGTGGTACCAACAATTAAACACATCAATGCTGTTAATTAGTGTATTATTGCAACTATTAAAAGGCTGCTAATGGCTTTTTATAACAATTACCCTTTGGGGACAGTGCAGAAATCCTCTAGGAATGCCCAATTTCCTGTGAGCCTCTGGTTAATTAGCCCTTCACAAGTGTTAAATCTGTGTTACACAAGAAACAAAGAGACTGGCCGGCCTGGAGGAACAGGTGAAAACCAGGGTAGGCACTGGAAGTGTGGCCATGTAGCCGTTAGTGTAAATGCTGGTACCAGGATTATGATGACCATGAGGGCTTAGCGCCTCGTAGCGAGATTTCAGCACCACTCGGGACAAGCGATCGAGCTGATAGGGGAATGGAGATGTTAGAGAGGCTCGAGATCTCAGCTGGCCCAGAAGTAAATCCCTTGCTCCTAAATCCCAGCACACGTGTGGCTGGAGAGTGCTGTTTCATTGTCTTTTCTTCCAGGTAAGAAAACACAACAAGGCTAAATGAGTTTTTACTCTTTTTTTGCGGCTTCCTGCTGTTTTCATACAATGGCTCTCAGTATTTTTCACACCAGGGCTTGTGTTTCAGCAATATCACCATACCTGGAGGCTCCTCCAATGCAGCAATGTCAGATGAGCGGGTGGCTGTCTGTTTGCTCACATCAGCGCTAGGAGACACGGAGGCAGTATGCTCACTCACCCCATGCATCTTCTCTTTTTTCCAGTGACATGAAGAAAGCTGGCGTGACAGTTGTGGGGCCTCAAAAGAAGATTGTTAGCAGTATCAAAGCTCTAGAAACTCATACAAAGAACAGCCCTGTTCCTGTGTAAGGTACCAAAATGATGTTGCTCAGGAAAGAAAAAAAAAAAAAAGAGAAAAGTGGCATCACAGGGCAAAAGTGATGGCTGATAAACAGCAGAATTTAAAGGAGTTCTTTGCAACAGCTTTGGAAACATAATGGTTGAAATTTCAAACCCACTAAGACACTCAAATATTGAGTATAAATGCCTTAAAAATAGGAGTGAACTTGTTTTCTATCTGTTAATCCTAAAGGGTGGGTGCTCTTGACTGACTGTTAACGCAGATAGTAAATTTCAAAAGAGACAAAAGTATGTAAAAAATTCTTCCAAGTAAAAACCAGTGATACTAAAACCTAGAGCCATTTGAATATTAAGTGACTGAACAACACAAAAACCCCATGGACATAAAAGCTGTGTACTTGATCTATACAGCAAACAAGAAGAAAGACTTGCAGTATTTTTATACAGAAGAGATCTGTAACAGGTATTTTATTTCTCTAAAAGCAAGGAAAATAGAGGACTATACCTCACTACCTGTCTGGCCATATTTACTATAATGTCATTGTAACATGCTATTTCAGCTTCAGAAAGGAACACAGAAATAAAGTTTGTAGTGGCTTGGAGTTAGTTGACGAAAGAATTTTACCATTATGTTAGCTTCCCTAATTGTGTTTTTTTAAATAGAAACAAGTCTTAATTTTTAAAAGACTTATTTATTTCATTTTTTTCTTCCATTATTGTTTATATTTATGCTTAAATACCTTAACCTGGCTGTATTATTGCCAAGTGCCAAATGTTTTCAAAACTTCATTGGTTCAACCTGAGAAATTGTCTGAGGGATAATTACTAGATTATTTTATACTCGTAATATCGTATATGAAATACATAAGGAAAGAAAGATGGTCTTTTTTCCAGCTCTGACACTAGATAAAGCATCTGGACTTGTTGAGATTCCTTCCATTTGCTGTGAGTAGTAGTTTAACCCCAGTTAGAGTTCTGTCGGGGTGGTGTGTGTATTGATCTCCAGATCAGTATCTGGCCCAGTCAGGTACATACATCTCATTTGTTTCCCAGAGGTCTGCTTCCCTGCCAAGATAAGTACCCTGTTCTGGAGTGGTGTTCATGTGGGAGTTTTGCCTAGAAAACATTAAAAAGAGTCAGGATTGCATCCTGCGGTAATGGAGGATGCTCTGTGAGTTCCCTGGGGAGTGGCCCATTCCTGGCTTCCCTCCGGCAGGCTTTCCTCCCGACTCTGGTAGCTGGGAGGTGTACTTCCAGGCAGGCAGCTGCTGGTAGTTACACTGAGATGGTGACTTGCAGCCAAGGATAAGTGGATGGTTTCAAAGGATGAGTTAAGCTTGTGAAATGGGACTTCGATATGTAATTTTACCTAAGTCTCTGCCAGAAGACAAATGTCCAGGCACTGCCATCCTGCAGGAGCCTTGCTTTTTGGCATTCTGATTCCCAAATTCCCATGCTGGAATCTAAACCCGATTCTGATGAATAAGAGTGAGTCCCTGAAAGTCCAAGGCAGTGTGAGAAGCAGATGACTGTAAGGCATGGCACGTTCAGCTGTGTGTGCAAAAGCAGGTAACTAGTCATGTTCTGTGTTGTATCAGTCTGGTTTTTGAAGGTCCTTGTAGTATAGGGCATATAAGTGGGGGAAGAATCCATTCCTAGGATTTGTGTGGCTGAATCAGCTTTTAAATTGTTCTTCATGGGTCCAGGACTTACAAAATGTAGAGACACAACATTTATCACACATTGCTAAACAGAAGCAGAATTAGAGGCTTCTTAATGAGTGCTGGCAGTGAGCATGCTGTAAAGGACTGGATTTGAGACACACTCACAGGATAATAATTAGTAATGTTCTCTGAAAGAAAAAGGAATGGGTTTTAAAGTAAGTTGAAAAAAGATAAATGGAAGAAAATGAAAATAAAGCACTTAAAATGTAAAGAACACTTCTCCTTATCTGCCACAATCTGTCATGAAATGCAGCCTGCTAAATAGCACAGCTGTATTTTCCATTGCTTACTTCATTCAGAATCTTTCTTTTCTTCGGTTTGAGATTGCTCTGAATCAGACATTGTTAGTGAATTTAAGTCACCAAAATCCATTTGCAGACATTGTCTGTGTGGGGACAGCTTTTGATAACACACTCCTTGTGACGTGTCTCTTCAGCTTTATTCTGCTGCTGGAGAGCGGGGGGCGAGAGGGTGGGGGCAAGACATCTGTGAAACACTCCTGAAAACACAGAACCAGTTCTTAGGGTTTTAGATGATGACTGAAAACTTTGCACCAGCCGTCCTCCATTTTCTCCTAGTGCCATGCCATGTTCCTTGCCCGCGGTTTAAGCACGTTCAGCATAAAAGGTTAAATCTCACTGATGCTTGGGAAAAAAGAAACTCAGTTTTGCTGTTCTTTGCGATTCGGAGTAGAGAGTTTTAGAACACATTTAGTTTTCTCTCCCCATCAAAAGTTGATTTGTACTGTAAGTGGCCTCTGTTGGAAGCACCCTATTATACTCCCTGTCCCCGTGTACATATGTATACATAGCAGTGTACAATTCTTCATTGTGGAGTAGAGATACTAGAGTTCGTGTGGCCATCTTCCTGTACAGGACTTGCATCCGTTACCGACATCAAGCAGAACGCAAGCACTCATGAAATGACATGCCATATTATTGGGTTTGTACCTCTAAATATAGTTTCCATTTTATTTATTTCTGTTAACATATCTAGTTTTGTGCTGTTAATTAGCATTCAATAAGCAATGTATAGATGTGATTTGATTGGCGGTATGTATTTACGTTAACCTGTATTTTAAAGCATTACTTACTCATTTAGATTATATATTGTGCAATTGTAGATGGCCTCTTACTAATGTAAAATGATTTGTAGTGGAAACATTTATATTTTTATAATAAACATAATGAAAGTATTTTTTACATACAGGAATTCTGAGGTGATTGCTTGGAGGACAAAGTAAATTTATTTGATTAGAAAAGTGTGATAAAATTGTAATTAAATATGGATAAATTCTGAGTGTTAAAGCATGGGTTCAGAGTGAAAGCCAGATATTGCTTATATTATCTATGAAGAGAAACAGTGCAGGTTTTAACTAGATAGACCAGCATTTGTGCTAAACTGACTTCTGTCAGTCAAAGACTTTACTTTTCTCCATGGATACGGGAAAACATCGTCTACTACAACCTGCCTATAGGATATTGAGAAAGCTGTCATTTATTTTAGTTGTATCAAGTACTTCCAAACCTTTGCTTTTTTTCCTCCCTTGCCAGTGGACCTCTTTTCAACTTATTACTATGTTGAATCCAGTAAAAGATGTACTTTTCAACAAAATAAAAAAACCCACCACGTACTGTAATTTAACCCCATGATCATTTCTTGCCTCTGAGTATCTGTATGAGCTAATATTTGCTCCTGGTTTGTTATGTCCCTACCAAGTTGTTTCTGTATGCTTCACTGACGCACAGTGTCTTTGAAAATGCCAACGTGCAACTCAACTTTGCATCTCAGGAATCGTCTTCCTAGAAAAATAGGAGCGGTTTGAATATTCGCCAGTTACTTGAGGAATGAAGTTACAGGATCTTACTGTACCATAAATGATTTTGCATGCTTTTGTATATTACTGTGCTTACCAGTGCAAAACAATGAGTGAAATACCTCTCCTGGAGTCTGTAAGTTGATAAACTTTATGGACATGGATGTAGCATACTTTTTTTTTTGGCATTTTGTCTTGGTATCCTGGAAAGGTAAGGGAATCACAAAAAAGAGGTACCCAGGATTGGACTTAACTTTAAATTACAACAGCTGGACTGAAATGCGCTTTTTCTTCATAACACCAGTACGCTTCATGCTGTGCTGCAGTGGGAATGTGTGGTGTCATTTTAACTTCCGATGAAGGCGTTTCGGTGCTGTGCCTGAAGGAGAGGGAAGCAGCTCTGTTGGTCTAATCTGTGCGGTACGCAAACCACTCGCCTCGTGAATAGGTTTCACTTCGGCAGTTGTGTTACACTGACTTAGTCTGACCCTTTAGCCTTGCTGGTACATTGTATTTGCTTTATACTCCAGAGGGCACAGTGGATATTGATGCTTTCATAACTGTTGCGTTTGTTGTAAAACGGTCTGGAAACTCATAGCCAGTTCTGGAACGGCAGTGGGGTGTGTACACATGAAGAGCAGATGAACAAGCAAATGCCTTGCAGCCCACCACCACGTCTCAACTGAGATATGGAGCAATAAATTGCTGATAATCTGTTCCACAAATTCAGATATGCCTTTTTTTCCCCCAGTAATGTCCAAGTGGCATTTTTCCACTTTACATTCCCGCTTAAGGATGATACCTAGACTTAGATAACTATACCAGTAAAAGCCTGTGCAGTGCCAAGTGGAATCAGACAATTACTTCTGCTGTCTCACATATGCCACTCCTGTTAATTCAGACAAATACCCATACTATTGATTTCCCTTCATTTTCTGAGCCACTGTAATTCCTCAGATCCTTTCCAAACAACCACTGCCTGGTCAGTAATTCCCCATTTATATGTGTGCACTCAGTTCCTTTGTTAGTCCTCAGTCCAATTCTTCGTGTATTTCTTAATGAATTTTACTTTGCTAATTCAAAAATATTTCTCCTAGAAGTATTTCTCTCAGCCTTGATTCATTCACGTGGATAAACATGCATCCAGGTTACTAATGCAAACAGCAAACAGCACCAAGCACGAAGGACAGCCTTCTCTTGGGTGCTTTGTTATGCTTTTCAGGGGGCCAGAGAACCTCTGACAAATGAGTTGAGCACTCAGCCCGCTAGGTTTTTCAGCTCACTCTGCTTTCACATTACGATTTCATAATAGCGTGTATTTCCCCAGTTAGCTCATAAGAGTGTCATGTGGGACAGCACCAGAAGTCTTACTAAAGACAAGATAAATCACACCTACTACTTTTTAGATTATGCTGTCACAGAAATGAATTAGACGATTTTGACATGATTTGTTTATTCTTGACAAATCTTTGTTGGTTTCTTGAGACCTTGTAATCTTCCAGCTGCGTAGAAATGTATTGTGTGAGATACGTATCTCGTTCTGTGTATTTGAGGTTAGCATGCCTAGTCTGCAATTGCCTGGCTCTGCTTTTCTCCCCTTCCTAAAGGTCAGGATGATCTTTGCGCTTCTCCAGTTGCCTGGGCTCCGTGACTTCTCTGAGAGAATAGCTTGGTAGCTGCCTTTGGGCTCATCCCTTAAGTTGCTATAGTAAATCTCCCAGACACTGCAAACCTGAATG